TTCTATACTATTACACTATAATCTACACTCCTTTATAATTTTTTCTATTATTTATATTTTCTATTATTTTGGCCCTGTTGATCTTGTTTATGTTTCTGTTTTTGGTTACGCTTGCTTATAATTTTAATTCACAATTGGCACAACAACAAAAAAAAATACAAAAATGGTTTATTATTTTGGCTAGCATACATAATGATATCTGTATTTTTATAACCACAACATTTGCTAGCAAATTGTGTCAGCCGCCATAATATGCACATGTCTAATGTCTAATAACCAAATGGCTAAATGGCTTGGCCCCCAGGTACCTACACACGAAATGAGTTCAAAACAAGTCTTTTATTTTGTTTTTTTTTTTTTGTCAGTGTGCTCCACATTTTAGTGTCCCGCGAAGGTCTCACGATATTTAGGGTACTACTCTGAATGGGTAAACATGATTTATTCAGGGTTCGTGTTCTCAATATTATATAGCCAAGATAAAGTCACTGAATATTTGTCATAATAGTGAATAGTTCTATTAGCCGGAAATTCTCACATTCAAGGGTTTTTTTTTTTTAGAAATTATTCTAGCCTTTCATTTCAGGTCACGTCCCATGGTGGTTTACACTTTTCAAGATTTATTTGACTTTGAAACAACATCGAAATGCCATTAAAAAACGCAACCCACAGGCTCCCAAAAAAAAAGCCACAAAAAACTAGTCTGCGGAATGTGTTGGTTTTTTTGGCCAAAAACAAAGTGACAGCTCCCCAAAACAAAAAAAAGTAAACAAATATGGCTTTTTTGTCAATCGAAAATATTGACAGTTGGCCAAGTTAATGCATCTTGCAGGTTCCTCCTCCCAGCCGCGTTATATTCAAAATTATGAGTGATGGTACACCAAGAGAAATATTATTGAAAATTATTATTATTTTAGAGGGGTAATATAGTCAAGTCTCTAGAGAATTTCTCTCTCTGTACCATCTGTATTGGCTCTATAAATAAAGTCAACTAAAAATGGCAAAAATTGTATTTACCAACTGGGGGAGCTCGCCAGCTCAAGGCAAACAAACCAGCCAAGGGACTTGAAAAGGGGAAGGTTTTCTTTCATAGCTATAGGATATGACTATAATATTTATCTGAGGAAAATAAGGGATAATGACAATAGCTGGTAATTGAGAATTGGCACTAAGATAAATATTTAACTTCAAGCTAGAGTTTCTTCAGTGAAAATATAGATCTATTAAAGGGAACCTCGACTATATAGCTTTATGTATAACCCATTATCTATGTTTCTTATCGCATTGAAAGCTTTTACATAATGAATGCGAGGCTTGGGGCGCATATCTCTGTTCAGTGTTTATCTTATCGGTATAAAATTGAAATACCTTTGTTGTTGTTGTTGTTGTTGTTGGTCGCTAATAAAACAAATCGGAGGAAAGGAGGCAATATATACATAGTTGAATGGTTGGATCTTGAAGAAATTCTGACTCATTTCGAATTCGATTTCGTATTGATTATATTGTTTTCTCTTCCAGGCTATTTAATTTTGCTTTTGTTGGGCTTTCTTTCTTGGTTTTTTTTTTTGTAATTTATTACACATCTTGTGGATTTTATTTAAGACTTTTTTTTCTCTCCTCTACAACCGATCTATATGTGTCTAGTCACATTGGATGACGTGCCACACAGTATTCTGTAAGACATGCAGCCAAGAAAAACATAGAGATTCAAAGCTAAAAATTCATTTCGTAATGTTTTTTTTTTGTTGTAATGACAGCCTGATGATGATGATGATGATGCAGCCTCAGAATCGTCATTATATTTGATTATAATAATTAAAATACTGATGATGATTAAGCAGAAACGTCTAGACAAAAAATGAAAGTGATGCTTGATGGTAAAAAAATGAAAGATCGAGAGGTCTTGAAAGCTTTATGCAATTGAGGAAAAATAAATTACACAAGATATGTATTTCAATAATTTGTTAATGGATATGTCATTTAATAAATGGCTAATAAGAGTCAAGAAAGTATAAGGGTCGAAAAGCTTTTCCTCCATTCCTATTTTCTATTAACTTTTTTTATACCTTTTTTTTAGAGAAAAATGTAAATAAAATCCAAAATTTGTAACATAAACCAAGCATGTGAAGGTGTTGCACAATAAAGTGTGACCATTTGCGCGAAAAAAATTTTAATCGCCTTTCACCAAATAATCCCTTATTTCACTTGAAGGCTTTAGGACATTTTTGCCCTGTCCCGAGTATATTTAAAGGCGGGCGGATGTGATTTTCATCAGAACTCGGTGTGGAGCCGAACCATCCACATCTAGCTTCTCATTTTTTTTTTTAAGTGCGTATTATATAACAAATGTGTGGTCTTATTTTCTTATTAATTTTTTTTTTTGCTGAATTATTTTTGCCTTTAAGGTGCACATCAGTGGGTATCTCCAAGGGCTCCCAAGGGTTATCTATATGGATTTAATAAAATGTTTGATTTTTTTTTTGGGCCGAAAATATATTTTATGAACTGAATATTTTGAACTGATTTTCTTATTTGATTCCTACATTTTTGAATTATTTTTGCTTTTAATGTAATAATCGTCTAAGGGTAACTTTAAGACTCCCAAGGATTATCTATATGGATTTAATAAAATGTTTGATTTTTTTTTGGGCCGAAAAATTAATTTTATGAACTAAATATTTTGAACTGAAATATTTTTATGAGCCTGATTTTCTTATTTGATTCCTACATTTTTGAATTATTTTTGCTTTTAATGTAATAATCGTCTAAGGGTAACTTTAAGACTCGCAAGGGTTATCTATATGGATTTAATAAAATGTTTGATTTTTTTTTGGGCCGAAAAAATATTTTATGAACTAAATTTTTAAACTGAAATATTTTGATGAGCCTGATTTTCTTATTTGATTCCTACATTTTTGAATTATTTTTGCTTTTAATGTAATAATCGTCTAAGGGTAACTTTAAGACTCCCAAGGATTATCTATATGGATTTAATAAAATGTTTGATTTTTTTGGGCCGAAAAATATTTTATGAACTAAATTTTTAAACTGAAATATTTTGATGAGCCTGATTTTCTTATTTGATTTCTTAAAATTTATTTCTAAATTTTTGAATTATTCAAAACCTTCGACCTTTGGAAATAATATTTTTCCCACATTGCCCATTAAGGTCCTTAAAATCAATATTTTTCTCCATTTTCTTCCAATAAGCTCCCTAAAATAGGCAATTTCAGCCAAGTACCGGGTATTTATAGTCTTTAACTTTTAAAACTACTATTTCTTCCATTTTTGGCTAATAAGCTTATTTCAAAAAGTAACATTTTTAGACAAGTACCGGGTATTTATCGTATTAAAACTGTGGAAGTACTATTTCCTCCACTTCTGACCCTTCAGACCTTCAAAATAGCCAAAACTATTAGCCAACTACCGGGTATTTATAGTCTTAGGCCTAAAAACCTAAAAAGAATTACAGCATCCACAGTGCTATTATGGCCATATTTTAATGGCCAGGCTATGATATGATATGAGCCTAATCAATCACCAAAAAAAAAAAACAAATAAATGAAAAATGCGGCCTTTTTGATAAGAAGCAACAACAACAACAACAAAAAACAGGTAAAGCATGTGTGGAAGCCAAAAGAGGGAGAAGATAAACATTGGAGCACACGGAAGGTGAAAACGAAAGAGAAGACAAGGAGGAGGAGGAGGAAGTCACAGTATTGGGGCATTAAAAGTTTTCACTTTTATTTTTGGGGCACGGAAATGGTTGCGTTCGAGGTTCCAACCTCCCTCCCGCCTTCCTATTTTTTTTTTTGGAAAAATATTTTACGAAATACTTTCCCCTCTCCCTCCATCCCTCCCCCAGAGTTGCACCTCTTTCTTCCCCCCATCGGTGTGTGTGTTTTTGGTGGAGTGACGCAAACGAAGCTGAAACAATCCCGAATTGGGTCATAAACACCAAAAGTGGTCGGGACGGGACGGGAAAAAAAAAGGCGACTGCGATTAAGTGGCGGCATCCCATGATCATCATCATTATAGTCATTATAGACATCATGATCATGTCAAAAATATGATAACACTAGCTTACAATGTTTTATTTTTTGAGGTGGGAGATACATAGTACTTGAATGTGGTTTTGAAATGGAGGTTTTTTTTTTTAAAGAGGTTTCAAGAGAAATATATCTATATTATTAATATTAATAATATTAATTAATATTATCTAGTGGTGTGTGTCTTTGATGTCCGTTCCACATTGGATAACTGGAAAATGGGAGCGCACGTTGTTTGCCTGATAAAGTTTTCAATCTATAGAGCCAACTACCTACCACTACTTATAAAGTTATATAGACATACATATATATAAATGTATATAAACATAAATCATTTTTCACAATGTCTTGTCGTTGTTTGATTGATGTTGTTGGCTTTGCTTTTTTTTCTGTTTTTTGTTGTTGTTTTTGTTGCTTTTGAGTGCAAGTTTATCGGTTCGAGTTACAAGTGCGTGAGTCGAAGGCAGAAACCGAGTGGAAACGCCACTCGGATGGGGTCACTACCTCTCTAGCCGCTTGTGACATCATTTCGGAAGTTGGGGAAAAACAGTTGTTCGAAAGTTAGCGGTCAGAGACGTGCAAGTTCAAGCAAGACGTGTGAATAAAAAAAAATAAAAATTATATTTTTATTGTTTATTAAAATTTTCATTCAAGATTTTCTTCAAGTGTAGTTTTCTCTGAAAAATAGCATACTTTTTCGCCCACACGCTCATTATAAGGACACGTGCTTTGTCACGCACACACATATGCCGTTATTATCCCTTAACAATAACCAAAACACCCCATAACAATAACAATTATCGGCCAGCTGCCAATTTTATGCCGACCAGGTCCCCAGGTGTCTGTAGCGTGCGTGTGTGTGCCTGTCTGTCTGTACGTGTGCATTCCTGTTATTTAATTGAGCGCTCTCCCTCACCCTCTCTAAAAATTCCTGTTATGCTTCCTCTTTTGCAGATGTCATTGACGAAAAAGGATCCATCGCTGAGAGTCGCCGCCTCGGATCCGCATCTCGTTTCACTGGGCGGAGGACGTCTGAGCACCGCCGTTACCATTCACTATATACATATAGGTGAGTCGATAGTCGTGACACGAAATAATAAAAATATAAAATATATAAAAAATTAAATAATAAAAATTAGACAAATAAAAAATAATAATATTTAAAGTAAATTTTTAAATATTATCTTACCTGTTATCTTCTTACCTCCCCATCCCTAACCCCAATTCTTCACGCACTGTTACATGTCTCTCTCCCTCTCTCTCTCTGTTGTCGCGCATCTTCCGCTTGTCTCTCTTCCGCGCACGCGTGCGTGTCATTTATGTTTTGGTTGCCGGTGCGGCCACGCGTGCGCTCTGCCCTCCTCTCCCTCGCACTCTTGCTCGGCCCGGACAAGGTCATTTGTAAAGCGAAAAGCAAAGTACCCCGAAATCGGTAACAACAACAACAAGAAGAAGAAGCTGTATTGCGAAAGACAACGCACAAAAGACAACAAAATGAAGCAAAATGCGATAAGCTGAGATTTCAGAGGTTATTTTATTTTTTTAGTCAGTCTACTATGGAATAAAAACTGTTAAAAATATGAAAAATAAATATAAAAAGTAATCAATAAAAATTTAAAAAGTCAGATATCATTTAACAATAAATAAGTAAGAACAAGATTTTCATATTATAAAATTTTATATTGTAAACCCCACTGTACCAAAAAAAAAGCTTAAAATATATGACAAAATGTATGTAAATACATTCAGGGAGAGGGAGAGATGACACAGAGACTAAGATAAGGAATAATGAATGTTGGCCTGACGAAATATTCCAACCTCAAAACACTAAGTTCTTAAAAAGATTAAAAAGATTCTGATTTTTAGTAATAGCTTCTGTTTGGATTCCCATTTAGGTGACACGACAATCGGATCGGCGCCCAGTTGCAGCATCTCGTTAAATGGAAGCGGAGTACGTCCGCTGCACTGCACCATTTATAGGTAATATTACTAGTTTTGAAATACTAGATTAGTTTTATAAAATAAAAAAAAATAAAACACGTGCTAGAAACTAAGCTGAGATATTTAATATTTTCCAGGAGCGACGCCAACGAAGTAACTCTCGTGCCCGAAAAGGATAGCCGGCTGTTAATCGACGGATCTCCGATTCTGGAGGAGACCAAACTCAGCCAGGGGGCAATGATTACCATTGGCAATTCCAACTATCTGAGATTCAATAATCCGGACGAGGCGCAAATGATGCGATCGGCGATGGGCTCCAACGAAAGGATATCCATGCCACAGATCGATTTCACGCAATCGGCACGTCAGGCCCACGAGCTAAGTCAGTCCCTGGAACTGGAGTCCTTTTATGAGAGCATTATAAATCCGATCAACAACTCATCGGCCTACGAACTGGAGTGCCCCAAGGTGTTTAGCTCCGATCTGGTCACCGTCAATATGCCCGCCAAAGATGTCCTGGGCCAGAAGTACGCCAGCTTTGCCCGCAATCTCGCCGAGAATCATCGCAACGAGAAGCAACTGAACAACCAATTCGCCAAGGGAGTTGGCAGCAACAGTGGCTACTGGAATGTGCCCAGCAATGCGGCCATTTACAAGGAACACCAGCAGCAACAGCCCCAGGGTCAACCCGATCTGCTGACGAAAGTCAATAACGATCGCTACGATCGGTATCCGAAGACGGGGGGACTCCAGATCTACTCCATGAACAGTGTCAACAGTGAGATCAACAATTCGGTCAACGGGGGAGGTCCTGAACTGGAGGACATGCTCAAGATCTGCACGGAATATGCGGATAGAAACAACTCCATTAATCCGCCGCACAACACATCGAGTACTTCCAGCATCACCTCCTCGCCGATCGTCCAGAATCGCATCAAGACGAATGGTTCCCTGCCGCGGGACAAGAACAAGTCACCGTTCCCGCAGCAGGGCGCCGGATCGGGGGCCGGCAGCACCGCCAACCTAGCTATGCTGAGCAGTTCCTCCGGCTACGAGAATGTCCGACTGCTGGGACCCAATCGTGTGGAGATCAACGGCCAGATACATGTCCCAGCTGGGGCAGGAGGAGGAGCTCCTGGCGTTAATGGAAACGGAATAGCTCCGAGTCCAGCGGTTCGAGCTAGTCACGAGAATCTTGTGAACAATAGTATCTCTAATACTGGACCAGGTCCGGGGTCAGGATCAGGACCCGGTCCGGGACCTGGTGGAAAGTATGTGCCACAAAGTCCGAGGACGAAAATCCGCACCAACTGCATGTCTCCAAAGAAAGATGTATCCTTCGGCAATGCCTTCGCGCTGGCCATCAGTTCCCTGCCGCAGGCATCCACGGCCGTGGTTTCGGCGCCCTTTCCGATGGTGAAGCCACCACTGGCGCCCAAACCACCAGCTCCCAACCAGCAGAGGGACTACGAGCAGCTGTTCAAGTCCTTTGAGAGAAAGCAGCAGCAACTGGATCGCCTGGTGCCGCCCAAGCGGAGCAACAAGAACATCAACAATCTCACCCTGAACCTGCAGCCCCAAGAAGTCCAGACCCAGTCGCCAAAGATGAGCCGGAAACCAGCACCGGCGCCAAGGAGCATCCACCTGGAGCAGCGCCAGCGCAGGGAACTGATTCAACGGCGGAAGCTGGTCAAGAAGGAACTGGCGGAGCTGCCTCCCACGGCGGGTATCGATACCCTAGAGGTTAGTCCTTGTCATCTATATCCTTCCACGCTTATTAATATTTTTTTTTGAATTTCTAGCTGGAACTGGGGGAGCAGCCCTTGCCCGCCACTGCATCACCGCGCTTGCAGCTCCAGGCCCTGCAGAACAAGATCCGACGTCTGGAGGCCCAACGGAACGCCACCCGGGTCATGGAGGAGAATCAACAGGCCAAGCTGAAGCAGTCCATCGAAATGAAGCAGGACCAGCTGAAGAAGTGAGTGTCCTTCTTGAAGGATAACCCGAAACTAACTCGAAATCCTTTGCATTTCAGGTTGCGAGCCATGTTAAAGCAGAAACCAAACAATGCCTGCCTGAAGGAGGAGTCGCAGCTGGTGTGCGAGTCCCTGGAGAGCGATAGAAAGACGTTCGAGGATCTGGAGTTTCAGTACTTTGAAGAGGAATCCGAACACCATGCCAGCCACGAGGAACTGAAGCGCCAGGAGCAACGTCTGGCCCTCGAAGCCGAGTTGGCGGCACTGCGCATTCAAATCGGTCCCGACGAGGAGGAATCCACGCCGCCCAACTCGCCGGCCTCCAATCACGGCGGCAGCAGCAATCTGGTCAACGGCGTAATGTCCCAGTCCCTGTTCGGATCCGCTGAGCTGCTCTGCCCCAAGCGCAATCAGGAGGATCTGATGTCGAAGAGCGTGAATGAGAATATGTTCTATAACCACAAAATCGAGGCCACCACCAGCACGCCCAAGCGCCTGCCCCTCCAGCTCTTCGAGGATGTCAACGGTGGCAGCTGCGAGCAGATCAGCTTCAACCTCTCCCTCCAAAGCGATCGCTTCGAGGTGAATCCTCTGGAGCGTCGTGTACCGTCGCAGGACGACATCGATCGCAGCTGCAAGGTGGCCAACGATGCCCCCATCTCGGCCAGCCAGGGCGCCAGCACCAAGATCTTTGACAGCATCAAGGAGATTGAAAAGAATCGCAAGCTCTTATTGGCTCAGCAGGGTATGGGAATATTTTTAGAGAACCAGATACAGTTAAGCTGGAAAACTAATTATAATTATACCCCACAGGTCATCAGGTCATCGAGCACGAGCGACAAAAGATCTACGACCTGAAGAAGAAAAGTCATGACGAGGCTCGCACTCAGTACTTGCTCTCCACCCAGCAGCACCAACAGCAGCAGCAATCGATGGAGCAATCAATGGAACAGTTGGAGACGAACGCCAAGTGAGTTGACCCCCATTCCTCTTCCAGTTGCCCAGCCCCCACCAGCTCCAGCGGGCCAGCTAATTGAAAGTGTGCCCCCCCGGAGCGAGTTAATTAGCGAGAACAGGCTGCAAGAAAACACTTGCAGTTGGAGTGCAGCTTACACTAGACAGCAAAAGAAGATTACTATTTTTTGACTGGGAAATTATTGAAGATTTTTATTTATTCTGATCGTTATGAGTTTTATAAAAATAATGTGTATATATTGATGGAATCTATTTGATTTCTTTTCTTTGATTCCTTTTAAAATATCTTTTAAATGTTTTTGAAATTTTTTCTTTTATTTTTATTAATTTTAAAGCAATTTCTAGAGTTCCTTATAGGTTAACTTTATTTTATTCTTATTAATTAATTACCATATATTAAATGCTTAGAAAATCCTTAACACTAAAGCCCTTTTATCATTTTTTAAAGCCTTTTTCATATTTTGAACTAATTATACCTGTATGTAACTAGGGCTTTGGGTTTCTATTTAATATGTTATTATATCATATCTATTACTTGTTTATATATGTTTTTGTTTATTAGACATGAGTAATCTTTTCTTTTTAATTTGTAATCAACTTTGTTGATGATTAATTAATAATTTTTTGCTTTCAAGTCATTTAAGAGATTAGAAATAGACAGTATCGTTAGGTTATATTTTTAAATTAAATGAAAATATAATTTATTTTTTAATATTTGGAACAAATAATGATATTTTTAAAATTTTAAATATTATTACTACTAAATCTTTAAAAATTAGCAATACTTTTTAATAGCCAAACCCATAATTATATATCCTATAGCTTGTACCTCAACTTTTGTTGTCTAGTGTAAGGTTAAAAATGCCTTTTGGCTTGCTCATTGAACTCGGGCCTGTACAATTAATCAAACTTTGTTGCTAATAGCCAAACAATGTGTGGCCCAAAGTCACTAGCCCCCGTCACCCCGCACCCCGCACCCCCTTCGCACCACCTTGGGTAACTCCACCCTCTTGAGAACCGGTTGTCGAATTATTTTGAAATTTGAATTGAAAACCTAAACAAAAAAAATAAACAAAATCGACAGTCGCGACATGCGGATGATTAACTTTAACTTTAAATTGTAGTTTTATATATATATATATTTTTGATATATTTTTTAAGATTTAATTGCATTTCTGCATTTTTTTTTTGTACCTTTTTTTTCTTGTAAAGCCTCGTTTTTTTTATTGTACTTCTTTTTGCCTTCACACATTACTGATAAGCTTATCAGCTGATTGTATAGTGTACCTATATGTACATGTGTATATATATATATATATATGGCTTTGATTGTGTGCCAACTGTTGCTTCGGATCCATCGGATTCGGAACTGTTTTGTGCATCCAACCGGACGGAGTCCGCCCGCTTAGTCAGTTGTATTCAGTGTTCAGTTTTCAGTCGGAATTCGAGCGTAAAAGCCATCGGTATCGGAATCGGTTGTGGAATATACATATGATATAGGGAATAGGGCAATATAATAATTCCACCGGTGGAGTGAGTCATGCTAAATAATAATAATGAATCGAATCAATGCTATGATTCCATGCTGGTAAAGAAAAAAAAGACAATAAATTTTATAAACCACCTGAGGATTATTAAATAGTTTACACCTTAAAAATCATAAAAATAGGCATTTACTTAAGTGATAATAAAGTTAAATAAAAGTTAATTTATGATTTATGAGTGGTTTTGTGAAATTAGAGAATATTAAACATTTTTTAAGTGAAGTTTTTTAAAAAGAAAGTTACCTTTAAATAATTTTCAAAAGATTTTATAAAGATAAAAAAATAATAACAATATTAATTAGTGTTTTTCTTATATTTATAAATTAAATTAAATTATTAAAACAAGTATTTTAAAGTTAATATTGAAATATGCCCTCAGGAGTGCTTTAGGGAGGCCTCTAATAAAAAAATACCATTTTATATTAATTTTATAGCCATTATTTATATCTAAATATTTTTAATTAAAATTTTCTCAGCGGCGGCAAAGATGCGAAATTATTTGAGAAGGCCGAGATGCAAAAGCTCAATAAAGCAGATGACACAACAGAGAAGGAGGAGGCGAGAAAGACAAACGGCGATAAGGAGAATAATGTGAAAAACAGAAAGTCAACCGGGAGCAGTCCAACAACAATAGCCACCACAGAAGCAACACCTCAACAGGTAACTACACTGGAAAAAAAATCCAGAAAATTTTAAAGATCTAGTTGGAAAAAATAGTAGAGTAATTTTTTTATGATTTAAGATTTTTCTCACAGTCTATAACAATTAAAACTCTTGACCCCGAAAAAACAAAAAAAAACAAAACAAAAATTAATGATGACCTAGGCCAAACAAACGTAAAGATTTTCCAACTGATTTGTTTTTAATGGAAATTGTTGTTTTTCCGGTGCTTCCGCGAAAAGGAAAACGCATTCACTACGCCACTGACCCCATATAATACTCTCGTACTCGCTGGCCACCCAACACCCACCCAAGTCGTATTTTTCTGTTTCCGTTCCAAATCATAAACAAGTGTAATGTTTTGTAGGAGGGGAGGTAGGAGGTGGTAGTCGAATTTATAATTCCACAGAATGTTGATTAATGATTCAATAATTTCCTGAAAAGTGTTTATTTGTAAGGAGGCAGTGATGGAACTCTATACTGGATTGGAGAATTGCAGTGTTCTCAGCAATTACTGAGTGTGTGTTGATAGAGCCAAACGATAAGAGGCAACGTGTGCATTGTTTTGGGGGGTTTATTCTTCGATAACGAAAGCCCCCTCCTAAATAGGTCGATAATGTCCATCCACTGATGCTCGAAGTTGTTACCTTGAGGAACAACCTTGATTGGAATTTAAAAGATAACTCCATAGATTACTTTCTTAATCGTTTTAATTTATATTAAATGGCTAGTCATTATAGATTGATTTATAAATCCAAAACGAAATAGTATTTCTTGTTTTTTATTTATCATGAATTACCCTAATATTACCCTAATATTATGCTTTCTTTTTTAGTTTCAAGATCATTTAAATAGCGAAAGAGAAGAAAGAGCCGAAAAGCTAAAATAAATTAAGAGTTTTATTTCGAGTGCCAAGATAAATATTCCAAGTGACAAATTCTTAAGAGATTCTCAGGCACTTGACAAAATTAACCAATAATTAAGGAATATAATTTGAAAATACTTTGGACGAGTGCTAATAATAAATGTAATTATTTGTTGGTTTAAAATTCATAAAAGGCTAGAATTAATTGATTTATTAATTTATAAAATTTGTTTTAAGTGTATAGCTCTTATTCATTCAATGGGCTTTCTGATGACGATCAAATCTATCGCCGGCTCGTTAGTCACGAGTTGTTGGCCGCCTCGGCCTTTTGTTAGCTGTTTTATTTTAGCCAATGTTTATTTTAAAAGACCACCCCACCAGCTCCCCCTCCTTTTCCCAACCAACTTGCGTGTGCTCTCAATAGCCGATCCGATTCTATATGGACTACACTTTATTAATAAGTTTAATATTTGCTGCGAATGGTACAATGGTTTAGATCTTAAAAATATTAGGGATTAAAAAAAATATAATATTCTTCTATAAATCTTCTTAGTAAAATTCATATATGTAGTTTATAATACCCGGTACTTCTCTTGGTAGTATTTCTCTCTAGAGGTAGTACTCTTACAATAATAATTACTTCTTTGGAAAAATGTTATATATTTATAAATATTATCTTTAATTAATTGGTAATAATTTTCTCCCCTTAAGTTGTAAACTTTTTCCATTGTTCTTTTGGCCAATGTTTGTTTTATTTTTGGTCTAATTGCTAAATTCTTGTTTGGCTCTTTGGCAAGTTACGCAGAGGTCTATAGTATTTACGTTTTAGCTCGATATTTGGCTGATATTTGTTTACAAATTTTCATCAGATATTTGGCCATAGCATCTCGTTATCTTCTCTCGTTCAATGGCCACACATTATGGTGGATAATTGGCCATCATCTCCGATCTCCGATCACGAACTGGATCCTCCCAGTCTGCCCGCCTGGACAATGTTCATGTTCGCCTCAGTTCTCGAGAGGCAAGTAGCTCGTCGGAGGCTATAGGAATCGGTCGCGGATCGGAATTTAGATTCACAACACAGTGCTGTTCGGCAAATAGCTTAGTTAGCTGCTTGTTTCCACAGGAAACACAAGTGTTTTTTTTTTTTATAAAAGAATACAAAATAATACATTTTATTAAAAAAAAAAAAGATATTAATTTTTTAAAAATGTCTGTTTGGATGACTTACGTGCAGCATCGACGCACGGATGCCAATGCACGTCAGAGAATGGAGTTGTATTATTTAGTGAGTAAAATAGATTAGTTTTAATATTTAAAAAAAATTTTATTATTTTTGGTTTTTGTTCAAAAAATAAAATATTGAAAAGTGAATATACAAGATATCTGAAATCTGAAATACCTCATTAATTTCTTAAAATTTTATTTTTCCAGCAACGCCATTCGCAACCGGAACTGGAACACCATGCCCTTGCCCTGGGCCTGAGTGGCAGCAGTGGAGGCGGTGGTGGGGCTGGCAACCAGATGGTGACCCGCAGTCCCCGACCCCTTTCGGAGGCCAACAACTGCGATGCTGCCATCGAGGCGCCCAAGTTCAGCAACGGATTGGACTCGTCGGCGGAGGGCAACAACAACAAGAGGGCCAGCAGTAATAGCAACTCACAGGATACGGCATCGGCGGGTAGCGGAAGCGGGAATAGCGGCAGTGGCGGCAGCACAGCCAGCACGGACAGGAAACGCGTTCTTCCCAAGCACCAGCGACCACTCACCCGCTACCTGCCCATCTTCTCGCCGGATCTGAACCTGAGGCATCACATCGAAACTGCCGGCCATCAGATTGACCTCTGTCCCCATGTCTTTGTCGATGCCCACAGCTGTCGGGGGTAAGACTATTTTTCGATCTTTCTATAAACAAGATATTTTAATTGATTTTTGGATTTTCGGACAGTTACCTTCACAAGCTGGGAGCCACATTTCATACATGGTCACGTCGCTGGTTTGTTCTGGACCGTCAGAGGAGTGCTTTAATATATTATTCCGACAAATCGGAGAGGAAGCCCAGAGGCGGTGCCTATTTCGCGGTGAGTAGGATCTGCATTTTTCCAAGAAAATCATATATTTTATTATGTTTTCCTTCACAGACCATTGACGAGGTCTATCTGGATCACCTGAATGCCTCGAAGAGCGGCCGGCCGCACTGCACATTCATTGTGAAAACGAAAAAGCGAAGCTACAATCTGCAGGCGGCCTCCGATTCCGCGGCCCGCATTTGGATCGATGCCATAATCACGGGAGCCCAGGGCAACCTGGACTACTAATAGAAAGGATTTCACCTTCCCAAAAAGGATTCCCACACTTCTGCCCAGTGTACAGTCTCAGCATTAAAATGGAAATGATAATATATATATATAAATCTAAAAACCTACTTTAGACATCTAAGAGAGGAAAAGAAATTGCTCAAAAAACTACATCCTGCATCCTGTAGAACATCCCAGGACACCTGCTTACTTTTATTTGGCAAACTAACGAAATCCGAGATTTCAGTACTGGACCAAAGTCGAAAATGTATTTTTTTTTCATATAGATATAGCACCTAATGCTTTTTACTTTATGATAAAATTAGTTAAGCCCTCTATCGCTTAATTTTAGAATTTTAAAGTGTACATCATGGTCAGCCCAACACGCTACTAACACAGCCACATCAAAGCCTAATCATACGAATAACTATATATATATATATTAATATATATATACTTAACGATAAAGTCTAGACTAAATATGCCTGTATACAAGTTTTTTATAACGATTTGACTACTATTGTACTTTTGAAGTTTCATTGTGAATTTACCTATTAACTATACACATATACACATTATATAACTATTATATTTTATATGAAAAATATACCATATATTTTGATAAACGATATAATTCGAAAAATCGAACGTTACTAAGCCCAAGACTAAAATAAAAAATTAAAAACTAAAGTTTAAATGATTTGCTCAGGCAACTGAAAAGGATAATCAAAAGTATAATCGTGAGAGAACACCAACTAATAATAAACAATAACTATGAATGTGTAACAAGTATAAATAGTTAATAAAAATCATTTGTTTTTTATAGATAAATATTTAACAAACTTTGTTATTTTAGTTAATATTTTATAGAATTTGGTAAAATTTTTTTGTATTTTTAAAGAGGAAAATAATTATTTTCTTCTGTAATATTATATCTTTCTGATCTGGTTATATATTGCCAGATTTATGGTCTATATATCTAACCTAAAAAAAAACTATATTGGCCAATTTTAAACAAAAAAAAAGAATTTTTGGCCAAAAACTCAATTTTTTGAAATTTTTAAAAACCAGCTAATCAGCTAATTCTTAACCGATTTGGGAAAGACATACCATTTATTAAACAGAGTTAAAATATCCTTAAACCTGCATTAAAATATTTTAAAAATTAAACAACGAAATTTTCTCACAATTTTTGAAATTTTCCAAAGGGGTAACATCACAATTTTTTTCAAAATTTGAGCAAAAATTTTGTTGTTTACTTTTCCCCCTATTGATGCATATTTGAGGATATTAAATCCCTGATTCCAAAATGGTATTCCTTTTTAAAATCTGTTAGAAAATGGCCAAGATATGAGCTCCTGAAAGTGTAGATTTCAAAACATGGCCAAAATGGCAACTTTCAAAGGCCATAATTTGGCTAAAACCGAACCGATTTTTTCCTTTTTTTATGCATATTTGAGGATATTGAATTCCTGATTCCAAAATGGTATTCCTTTTTAAAATCGGTTAAAAAATGACCAAGATATGAGCTCCTGAAAGTATGGAATTTAAAACATGGCCAAAATTGCAACTTTCAAAGGCCATAATTTGGCTAAAACCGAACAGATTTTTTCCCTTTTTTTTTTTGCCTATTTGAGGATATCGAATTCCTGATTCCAAAATGGTATTCCTTTTTAAAATCTGTTAGAAAATGGCCAAGATATGAGTTCCTGAAAGTGTGGATTTCAAAACATGGCCAAAATTGCAACTTTCAAAGGCCATAATTTGGCTAAAACCGAACAGATTTTTTCCCTTTTTTTTTTTGCCTATTTGAGGATATCGAATTCCTGATTCCAAAATGGTATTCCTTTTTAAAATCTGTTAGAAAATGGCCAAGATATGAGCTCCTGAAAGTGTAGATTTCAAAACATGGCCAAAATGGCAACTTTCAAAGGCCATAATTTGGCTAAAACCGAACAGATTTTTTCCTTTTTTTTATGCATATTTGAGGATATCGAATTCCTGATTCCAAAATGGTATTCCTTTTCAAAATCTGTTAGAAAATGGCCAAGATATGAGCTTCTGAAAGTATGGAATTTAAAACATGGCCAAAACGGCAACTTCCAAAGGCCATAACTTGGCTAATACTGGTCCGATCGAATAATGCTATATATCCCCGCTCTTATCTCTTCTAGGACTATCATTCCCCATCAAAATCTAAAAACCCAAATTTTGAGAAATTTTGCGCATTTTTAGAATTCCCAACCGGTTCTGGCGCCGAAAAAGTATAAATAGAGAGCCGCTTCCCCAAAACCGACTTTCGAAATATTTAGTATCTTGGCCATTTATGGTCCGATTTTGATGAGCGATATCTTAAACGATTCGTAGGAAGCTAATTAAGCGATCTATGTAAAAAAAATTCTGCAATTTTATCCTAAAAATTAGTTGGTTGATTTTCGAAATTTTTTTTACATCAATCGCTTAGGTTGGCTCGTACGAGTCGTTTGAGACATCGTACGTCGCAATCGGACTGCAAATGGCTGAGATACTATGGTTTTTCAAAGAGGATTCTGGAGCAGCGACGCTCTATTTATACTTTTCCGACGCTTGAACCGGTTGCGAATTCCAAAATGGCGGGCGGAGCAGGCGAATTCCATGCGGCGAATTCAAATTGTTTTTTCGCTGCAGTTTTAGAAGCATTGGAATGGAATATCTTTTTTCATGATTTTCATATTAAAATAAAACAAATTTTTATAGAATTAATATAATTTAACACAAAAAAAAATATATTTTTTCAAGTTACAGTTATTCAGATTACATTTGTTTGGAATGAGGTCTTCAAGACCTGCGTCATCTACTCTTATTTAAATTTTTAAACAGTAACTTATATTATAATTTTTAAATTTCACAACCTTACTAAAGTTAATTTTAAATGAGAAATCTAGTCTTGATGTTAAACTACACATTTAAATTTTAATTCATATTTAGCCAAATATTATTTAAGAATTATCGGATACTGCCTGAGAGATACGACGCGGCCAGTCTCAGCCTCAAATAGATTTCAGAATTCTGTTTACAATATATATAGGAACCATTAAAGCTTTGGCCGTATATATATATATACATATCAGACATATATCGAGAGAATCAAGAAACTAGAAATGTTTACCAATTGGTTTTTGGTATAAGCAATTGATTCTTGGGGTGGAGGATACTTAGAGACTACATCCAAGGTAGCTATTGTTTCGGCCCCTCGGCATGGATTTCTTTTGTTTACAAACAAGTCTCGTTGTAAATTCATCTATAAAACTAGAAAACGTATTCAAAATATCTCAGTGATCTATAGCTACGTCTCTAATAAATCTAAAGAGTAGCCACTATAACTAAATGGTAGCGAGGTAGATACGATACGTTTTACGATTCACAGCTCAGGGTGGTTGTTTCCAGTTCTAATTGCTTATACCATCTAATATCCTAATATCCTATTCTAAATGGTAGGATCCGATCCCTAGGGGCATTCCCAGTCATTGGTTTGTAGCGTTTGGCGTTGTGCTGGCATCATGCCCAGATCCTCGTCACTGTACCGATCCAGGTAGGTGAGAAGCCATCGAGAGAACTCGTTCATGTGGGGATCGATTTCGGACATATTCTTGAATCCAGCTGGGACGTCCGGCGGGGGACGAGTGCTTCCTGACGCGAAAAACTTGTTCATAAACGTTTCACAATGGTATATAGCCGCACAGACATCGGCATCCACGACTTCGACTCGAAAGGATAACTTGGCCAGAGCTTCAGACATTTGTTTCAGAACCTCATAGGTCTTGGCAGAGAAGACAACTGCAGAGAGAGAGATGGAGATATTAGAATGCTCATCAATTAGACAGAGAAGGCAATGATTCTCACCTGGTCTGTCCCTCCGACTGACGAAATAATACTTTTTAAGTAATTTTTCGGCAGACGGAGTTAAAACAGAAACTCTATTGGAAAAAACATGAAGCATCATACTTATGTCCTCACCTGGGATATCCCAAACCTCTTCGTCGCGATCTTCACAGGCTTCCATCAAATAATAGATGTACAGGCTTTCTTCCACATTATCGGGCATATAGATCGGGAAGCCAAATAGCCTGCAGGTAAGGAGATATATAATATTACAAGACTTACAGAGATGATCTTTAACTTACGGACAAAATTTGGAAAAGATCACGTTGGGATTCGCTGCATTGGATTTCTCCCAATAGGTCCAGATGGACGCGTTGAGGGGTTGATGCTCTTGGGTCTGTGGAATCGGTACCGCCCCATTCTCGATGCACTTCTCCAGGTAGGCAGTGTTGGAATTTGATTGACCATTCCAATCTCCAACGTTTATCACACCCTTTTGGGCCATGATCAGAGGATTGGAAGGCTTCCAGTTGGAGCGTTGGGGCAGGGCGTGGGCTGTCTGCTGTATATCTTGATCGCCGGTTGCCACAAATCGGGGTGCCAGTTTCCCCATGCCGGTCATGATGCGGCGGCACACAAGCGAATCTGTTGCAATGACGCACATTGGGATTGGGGGACGCACCTCACCCGGTTCGATGGACACAATGCTGGTGAGTAGTGCAATCTTGAGATTGGCGTAGCAATCTATCGGCCCACAATCACGACACAGCTGGGCGCACAGAACATAGATGAAGGAGTAGCTGGAATATTTGGCAGTAACCAAACGGTATAGACTCCTGATGCTGGACGGGATGCAGTTGAAATCCGGTTGAGGATAATCGTGATGCCTGCCACTATTATCGGCGGGTGTTCGGAACAACGTGTAGTTCACCACCGGATTTCTATTACGCCCTCGGCCGCCTGCCTCTGCGTCTAGCTCGATGAGTTCGCCGTCCTCCTGGTATAAAACTGTACGCGGCACTGGCGCCGTCACCTCCACCACCTCCTCTGCACCATGACGTTCCGGCCATTGTCGGGAGGGGGACGGGGTATCCTCCCGGTCCATATCCAATAGGGGCTGACTGTACATCAGGTCGCGGTTGGTAGCTTGCCATCCGGACTGGTCTGCCCGCTCCTCCTCCGTGGAACTGAGCGTATGGGTTATGGATTGCTCGGGGCCTGTTATAGTAGACGGGGGGATGCTGAGGCTGCGGCGCACCGCTGACATCGCCCTCTCCTCCGTGGAACTGAGCGTATGGGTTATGGATGGCTGCGGGCCTGCCCCCTCCTCCGTGGAACTGAGCGTATGGGTTATGGCTGGCTCTGGGCCTGTTATAGTAGATGGGGGTGTGCTGAGGCTGCGGCACACCGCTGACATTGCCTTGGAACTGGGGTTGTTCGACTGAAGGCTGCCCCAACCTGTAGATGTATCCGAGTTCGGGGTCCCCACACCAGTGGTAGGGAGGCTGGCAAGCCGAAAACCCGACTGGCAGCGGCTGTGAACCTCAGCGGGTGTCGCGTTAGTGCTCCATGATTGCTGCGTTTGCGGATTATAGTAGATCACCGATGGTGTATTAGCCATATGACCCAAAGTGATGGTAGGCGGCGGCGCATTCGGGATTTGCTGGTATACGACTGACGGAACCGATCCCAGGCTGACAGGCGCCACCGGTGTCGGATATATATTTGTTTTTGGCGGACCATTATTAAATGGCGACTGGGGCAACGTATAGCTATTCGGAATCCAATTATGAGTGTTCTCCACTCCTTGATTTGGTCCTTGCGGAACATAGAATGGTATTTGATTCTCCTCGCTGGATCCTGGATTCCTTAGAGTGCGTCTGTGTCGCTGACGAAGGCGTCGTTGCTAAAAAAAAAAGAAATCCAAACAATTAACACTGAATCCCACTCTGCTGGGGAGGAAGCATCATCTTACGGAAATTCTGCGACTAGGAGCCACCTGCTCTTCCTGTTCGTCGGCCTGATGACCCCTCGGAGTAAACTCCTGGGCATTCGAGTTTAGGGAACTAAACCTAGCAAGCCTAGTGATGTTATCCTCCTCCTCCTCCTCTGGCTGCTCCCACTGCCGTTCAGCTTCAAAATTCTGCCTCTCATACATCCAATCCCTCTTCACCGGTCGATGAGATCCGTCTTCCCCAGTTGAAGGCAGCTGGTATTCCGATTGCGTGGCACGCAGACTTCTGCCGGGCGAAGGCACAGACAGTTGCTGGGGCCCATTGGAATGAGATCGGTGTTGGTGCAACGGCCGCTGTTTGAGGTCATATGGCGATGGTCTTTGCTGCAATGAACTGTGAGAACGTTTCCGGAGTTGATCGGAAGACTTTCGTTGATGCTGGGATGGTAGAGGCTGGACTTCCTCTCGAGACTCCTCCTCCAGTTGAACCTGGGATGAATTCTCATGCACTTCGTGTTGAGGTTGCTGCACCTGTAGCTGAATCTCAGCTGTGGTCTGGATCACTTGGTGCTGAGGTTGCTGCACCTGTAGCTGAATCTCAGACGGCTCTTCCGACGGCTGACGAGTGGAATGCTGGCCAAGTTGGACTCCCGACAGCTGCGGCTGTGGTGTCACTTGCTCCAAGTAATTCGACTGCTGCTCTGTTGGTTGCTGCTGTTGATGTTGAGGCATCTGCTGTGCTGGCTCCAATGCCAGCTTGGGCTTAGGCGGCGATTGTTGTGGAGAACCTCGTGGCACCGGTCGCCCTTGTGGACGCTGTGGTGTCTGACGATCCTGAACATGTTTCCGCTTCCTTTCCTGCATGTACGACTGTTGTGAATTCTGCCGATTTTGTGGCGAAGATCGATTCGGCTTATTCTGCGGCATCTGCGTAGGCGCACCCCAAGGTGGGACCCGAACTATGCGCTTGTTTCGGGATCTGACTACAATGAACCCATCATCGTCTTGGTCCTCCTGAGAGGGCGGAATCTCGGCGTCTTCGGCCTCCAAACCATCGCTACCATGGCATACATGACCCTGAAGGCCCTCGCTTGATTCTTTCTTGTTTTTTGCAGTAGCCACTTTGCGTTTCGGAGTAGTAGCGGAGGTCACGGCACCGGGCATCTTCTTCTCAGCCTCCTGCTGCTGGTTTGGACTGGTCTCGGCATGCGGCAAAACTGACTGTGGCATATAGTGGCCCAGCACTGGAGTAGCTATCCTCCGATTGCGTGGGAAACCTTCATCATTCAAAGAAGTTCCACATGATGTGGATTTTGGCTGAGAAACAGCTCCCTGAGATGGCGCTACTTTTGAGCGTTTGGTGTGCTGTCCCAGATCGGGATACTCCTCTGCGTCTAGCTTAAACTTTTTGCCAGCGGATGCCTTGGCGTCATCCTTGTTCGCGATAGATCCCCAAACATTTACAGGCCTGGCAAAGATCGAGGTCCTTGGTGGAGTTGCCGAACTCTCGATGGTCGAGGGTGTCATTATAGGCGACACATCGCTCTCCCCCATGTTGCCATTCGATTTAATCGATCTGGAGAGGGTAAATAATAATTATTTAGAGGATTCTAAAAAGAACTCAATGGTCCATTGCTTACCCTACTGAATTGTTACTCTGTGACTGATTGTTGGGTACGGTTCCAATCTGGGACGGATTCTGGGCGACCTCCTCGCCGCGCAGGAAAACACTCAGCATGATAGGGCTGCGACGGGGGCGGGATTTCCCTCCTAGTTGCCTCTTAGATGGCATGCTTCGATATGATAGTTGGTTGAAGATCCCGTAAAATAACCTGTTATCAAGTAGCTAGCTCCCAACTTCAAAGCGCAGTCGTATGTGTGTGCTATATATTCAGAATGTCTGTAAGAATTTGTGTAAAATAATAACCCAAAATGCTTACCTCTCAAACGTACTAGCTTGGGACGATAAAGACAACCAGTGGTCGTTGGCGTCTCGATTGCGCAGCCTGGCAAGATGGCCAAAATATGATATTGCTCCGTTACTCTCAACTTTTGGTATTCAGACATAGGCCGTGAACAGCCCGAACACAAAGGAGCTACGAAACAGAGAGTCTTGAATTACAATCGATGCGATTTCTTTACAATCTAGAACCAAAAACGAAATCAATTTTGTGCTTGGGTTAGAATCAAATCATAAAATAATAATGCAATGGGTTAGGAATGGGTGCTGGCTGTGGAATCCTAGTCTAGATGGACCTACCATCCGTGGAGCTGGTCTGTATCGCATTTCGCATACAGCCGCTGCCGCAGTACCAAATCGATTGGAGGCTAGAATGCAGAATGCAGAACATATTGAGAACCATTAAGTTCGATTACAATCAAGTGGCTAGTCATGCCCAGGGCTTGGGCAGCATGCGGATATCGTGCGATAGTGGTTATGAGAGGAGTTAGTCTACAAATGAAGGCTCAGACCGGTGGAAGATGGATACAAAAGACACCTCAGTTAATGCTAAGCGAACACAAGTGGCTAGTGTTAATACTTTCACCAAACTAATTACATAAACTGACTCCTATCTTACACCAGGTTCTCCGGTGGGGTGTAGGCCGACAGGATGCCCTGCACCTGGGTCAGTCCGAGCCGCAGGCAGTTCTCCCGCGGCTCGAACTGCAGGCCCGGGGTGTACGGCAGCCCGACCAGCCGCCAGTGGGCGTGCAGCTGGGATATATCGATGGGTTTCAGCCCGGCGGTCTTCAGATGGTCCCTAACTAGGCCATAGACGGTGTATTTAACAGCTTCGGCGAACTGCAGGGGCTCCTCAACGACCAGGTCGAGGAGTTTGGGCGCCTGGCGGAGCAGCTCTCGGTAGTTGAAGTCCAGACTTACCTGGACCGGCGCCAGCAGGTCCTCGGGCCGGCGGTGGTTTCTATAGTTCTCCACAAACTTACCTGCAGAGCCCTCGATCAGCTTCAGCAGCTGCGTCTGCCGGCAATACTTCTCCACTAGCTTTTGCTCGTGGAATCTGAATAGTGTATTTTATTTCATGTAGTAGTGTGTGTGTGGGTGTGTAATATATAGCCAGAAGATCCTAAGTCTTAGGATCCTAAAGTGCACCGTCATGTAGCTTTATATTGGGAGCCCAACAAACTAGCTGGTTTTTATTAAAATATAATTCGACTTACTTTTCAGTGCAAATGCTTTGAAATATTATTAGAATATTTCCTTAATATTGCGGATAATGGCCAAGGATAATGGATAATAAACTACGGTGGAAAATTACAAAAAAAAAGTGTAGACGACTAGTAAGGAAGGCAGTTAACTTGTTTCTGTGAAAAAACACGACACGACATGACAGAAATCGAAAAAAATATTTCATGGCCACTGGGATTCAAATTTCCGTTTTCTTTTCAGTTGGCAACACCATTTTCATCTTCAGTGTAGAGTGAGAAAGCTGCAGGCTACGACAAGATCCGTTTTGTTGCCGGCAAAAGAACTCCAAAGAGGAGACGCGAAAATTTGGTTTGTCTCTCCTGCGGAGAAAAATGCGTAAATTGTTTTGCAAAAACGTGCTCGAATTTGGAAATGAACTCAAGAAGTTGTTGTTGGAATTAAGGAATTGCGGAAACTAAATTCGAAAAGTGATGTCAAGTCATCATCACCATCAAGCATGCGCAGCCGGCCAAAATTGCACTTGTTACAAAAATTATAAAACAAGAAAAAACATGTGCTGCGATATTGGGCATCCCATTTATAAAGCTACGGGCTATATATTATGGGTATTGTCTTTAGGCGTCATGATTTTTTATGGTAGCTTTTATATGAAAATAAATTACTTACTGGCTATTTGAGGGACTAGCGTTTCGTTCTTCGGATGTTGCAGAAAGTAAGGTGGGGTCAACTGTGAACATTTTATTTCGACCACCACACCATTAAGTTAAATCACTAATGAAAGAAAACACAAATCTTTACAGCGGCTTCGAAAACTTAGGTGAAAAACTTTACAAAGCAATGCAGTGATGGATGTAGTGCGGAATTCGTTTTGAAAGACGTCCTCCTGCTAGAGGTGGTCCACGACGAAAAGTAATCATTTCGATAACTTTATATCGATATGTCACTTTGTCTGCTTCTAGTGAACCGGTTAACATGAAACGGTTATAGTTGTAGACAATAAAATTGATATATAAAATTGTAAAGAGACAATTTTAATTAATGTTAATATGGAAGATGTATGCTTTTAGCTAGCCCATCAATGTAACATGGAATTTCCAAAATAAAATAAAATTTCCTTTAAAATATCTTTAGAATTATATTTTATTAAGTTAAAATATACAAATATTTTGAATTTACAAATTATATTAGTTTTTACAGACGTCATAAATGTGTTTATTTAGCTATTATTAATGTTAATGTTTAATCGTTAGGCATTTAACCGATTCGTAAACGGTTATATTTTAAATAGCCTTAGTGATCCGTTTCTAGGCGTTTCAATGTAAAATATTTAAAATTGTAAAGGTAAATAATTGAAAAAATGTATAAATTATTTTATTTTGTTACTGTTAAAACAGATTATCATGGTAATTGATAAATTAATAAAATAAGATTCCGAATATTTAAAATCCTATATGCCTATGGATTACAAACTACATCTTTCTTTTTCTTTTTCATAAAAACTTTAAAATCTTATGCTTTATACGAATTTCTATAAAGATAAAGAATCATAGAGCAAGTTAACTTTTTCTAGAAATAACTTTACAAGACCATGGAATCTTTATGCATTAATGACTAAAAAAAAAGATTGGTTTACAATTGTTTGTTGTTTGTATTTTGAATGTTTTTTGTTCTTAAAAAAAAGAAAATATAGTATTTTTTTGATGGTTGATGCTGTTGATGTTTAGTTGGCCACAAGCTCCAACTAGTCCTTCTTGATGGTGGAGTCCAAGGAGTCCAAGGAATATTAGGAGTTAGAAGATCCCTGGAAAATAGACAAAAATCATGATAAGTATATTAGTTTAAATAACCTAAAATATAAAAACAATTCCTAAGCTTTAAAAACTAAAAACTAATTACAGGGTATCTGATTGGAGACCAGATCCGAGGACGTCTTCTCCTGATGTCCCCCTCTTCATCAGGTCCCGTATTCCTAGTGACGGAGGGCGGCGACCACGAATCTTGCTGGTAAACGGGTGGCGGAGGCGATTCTCGGCTAAGAGGTGCCACCGGTTTGTGACTCCGAGGACGTGATGTCCAATTCTGCCCTCCTTGATCAGGTCCCGTATTTCTAGAGACGGAGGGCATCGACCGCATCCGGTGTTGCTGGTACACGGGAGGACGCGCTGTCCAGTTCTGCCCTCCTTGATCAGGTCCCGTGTTCCTAGAGACGGAGGGCATCGACCGCATCCGGTGTTGCTGGTACACGGGTGACGGAGTCGATGCCAGGGTGAGAGGCGCCACCGGTGCCGGACTATGTGCACTATGTTCATATGGCATCTTGGGCAACGTGTAGCTGGGCAATCTCGGGCGAGTCCCTTGATTTGGTTCTTGCCGAACATAGCATGGGGATGGCAGATCATTGGATGGGGATCGCGGGGCCACTTTGCTCGGTCCTGCATTGGATTGAGGCTCGGGTCCGTTTGGCTCTTCCTCCTTTGAATCACTCTCCTCCGGAACATAGGATGGGAATGGCAGATCATAGGACGAGGATCGCGGTGCATCACCCGGCCGGGGAGAAATTCTCCCGGCTGGTGTTGCACTGCTCGGTCCTGCATTGGTTTGAGGCTCGGGCCCATTTGGCTCTTCCTCCTGTGAATCACTCTCCTCCGTCGAGGAATCTCTCCTCGGTTGCTAAAAAGAAATCCAAAAAACAATTAGTTACGGATAGTTTACGGAATTTCTGGAACTAGAAGCAAGCTGAGGTACCTCTTCGTCGGACGAATCACTCTCCTCGCTGGATCCATCTTCCGAAGACTCTGTCGAGCAATCCCTCGTTGGTTGCTAAAAAAAAAAAAAACAACAAAAAAATTAACATTAAACCTTAATCGGTTGGGAAGTATAAAGTTACGGAATTTCTGAGACTAGGAGGAGGCTGATGTTCCTGTTGGTCGGCCTGCTGCTGCGGATTCACTCGATCCCTCGGAGTTGACTTCTGGGCATTCGAGTTATGTGGGGACCTATGCGGAGAAGCAATATTAAAGTGCTCTACATCCCACCGAAGCTGTCGAACACGCTGTACAGCTTCAATGTCTGTCGGATCCGGCACCTCAAACGCCTTATGAACATACGAAGGGATTAGGCTGTTATCCTTAAAAATCTGTCCATAAATAGAAGGGATGGGTTCCTGCTCTGGCGCAGGAACGATCTCTTCCACTTTCGCTGGGTTGATTTCTTCCTCTGGCGATGGGCCCTTCTGTTCCTCTGGCGATGGGCCCTTCTTAACCACCGATTTCTTCTGCTCCACTTCAGCAAGTCGCCGCCTCTTTAGTCCACGTTCTCGTTCAGTCATCCATTTCCGCTTCGATACTCGATGAGGCCGTTGCTGCTGCCCATTGGATTGGGTCTGGAGTTGATGTTGGTCTGGACTCTGCTTTTGCAGTTCCTCGCGAGACTGCTCTGATTTCGAGTCTGAGATAGGTTGTTCTGAGACCTTTTGGTTCTCAGGCTGCTCTTCCTGATTCTCCTTTAGCGATGGCTCACGAGTTGAATTCTCTCCACGTTGTACCCCCATAAGTTTCGGAGAGCGGATCAATTTCGGAATCGGCCATTGATTTCGAGGCATGTCCTGTGCTGGCAATTCTTGCAGCGGTATGCGCCGATTGGTTGCTGTTCCCAGCGGCTGTTCATTCTGAGGATTTTGGCGATGTTGAGCCTGTTGCCGCGCCTGGTGTTGGGTAACTTGTGGTACCGCCGGCACTTGTGGACGCTGTGGTGTCTCAAGCTCTTGAACATTGGTCCGCTGGTCCTCCTGCATGGACGACTGATCCGGGCTCCGCCGTTTTAGTAGTGAAGGTGGATTCGACAACCCCTTCTGCAACGAGTGACGATCGGGAGCATTTGGCCTCTGCGGCTGGTCTTCCTCTCGAGACTGCTGTGGTTGAACCCAAGAGGTTGCTCTTACTTGGTGCTGAGGCTGCTGCACCTGATTCTGCGACTGCTGTCCCGGAGGCTGGCGTAGGGAATCTATAGGCACCACCCGCACTTGTGGACGTTGTGGTGTCTGAGGCCCTTGAACAAATGGCGAAGATGGATTGGGAGTATTTGCCTGTGGCGGCGGCACGTCTTTCTCTCGAGACTGCTGTTGCACTTGAACCCCACATGTGGTCTTATGCACTTGTTGCTGAGGTGGCTGTATCTGCACCTGATTCTGCGAGGGTTGTGGCAATTCCGAGGGGGTTTCAACCAATTTCTGACGTGACGAGTGCCGGCCAAGTTGCGCTCCCAAAGCTAGTTTCGAAGGTCGCAGCAATGAGGGCACCTGCACCTGTTTCTGTGGCAATGTCTGACAAGTGTCTGACGGGGAAACTTGGGGCACCGCTGGCTCTTGTGGACGGTCTTGTGGACGCTCTAGTGTCTGACGCTCTTGAACATTAGGCTGCTGCCTCTCCTGCATGGACGACTGATCAGGACACCGCCGTTTTAGTAGTGAAGATGGATTTCTAGTCACTCGTTTAGAGTGACGATCGGGAACCTTTGGCGGCTGCGGCTGCGCCTCGTCTCGAGACTGCTGTTGTAGTTGAACCCGAGGATGGGTCGCTCTTACTTGGTGCTGAGGCTGCTGCACCTGATTCTGCGACTGCTGTCCCGGAGGCTGGAGAAGGGCCTCTAGAGGCACCACCCGCACTTGTGGACGCTGTGGTGTCTGACGATCTTGAACATTCGATTTTTTCATTCCCATGGCTGGGTTACCTTCCTCCACCCCCAACTTTGTAGGTGTAGCTGGAACTATGTGCCTGTTGACCTCAACGCCAACATGGGATACACTTGCCAGCGAAACAGCGTCCGGAGATGTCGTTACTTTAGGATGTTTTGGTTGCCATCCAAGATGGGGATACTCCTTCGGGTCTAGCTTAAGATTCTTGCCAGCGGAAGCCTTGACGTCATCCTTGCTCTCGATAAAACCCCAAACATTAGCAGGCCTGGCAGAGGTCGAGGTCGACACATTGCTCTCCTCCCTGTTGCCATTCGAGCTGTAGAAGAAAAACTATGATTCAGAGGATTCTCAGAAGAACTCGGTGTCCATCGCTTACCCGATGAAGCTGTCAGTCTGGGACAGACTCTCGGCGTCCTCCTCGCTGCGCAGGAAAACTTCCAGCGGGACAGGGCTGCGGCGGGGGCTGGATTTCCCTCCTAGTTTCCTCTTAGATGACATGCTTTAATATCAAGATCGAATGCAGATGCAAATATAACCAGTTATCAGGTAGCTAGGTAGTGGCTCTCAGCTTCAAATCACAGTCGTGGATATGTACTACAATTCTGAATGAATTCTAAAGTCTTTAAGAATTTGTTTAAAACAATAATCCAAAAGCTTACCTGCTGGGCGTACAAGAGATAGTCAGTTAAGGCCCGAACCCAACGGAGCTACGAAACAGAAAGTCTAGGATTACAATCGATGCGATTTCTTTACAATCTAGAACCAAAAACGAAATCAATTTTGTGCTTGGGTTAGAATCAAATCATAAAATAATAATGCAATGGGTTAGGAATGGGTGCTGGCTGTGGAATCCTAGTCTAGATGGACCTACCATCCGTGGAGCTGGTCTGTATCGCATTTCGCATACAGCCGCTGCCGCAGTACCAAATCGATTGGAGGCTAGAATGCAGAATGCAGAACATATTGAGAACCATTAAGTTCGATTACAATCAAGTGGCTAGTCATGCCCAGGGCTTGGGCAGCATGCGGATAACGTGCGATAATGGTTATGAGAGGTTATAGTCTAGTTTAGTCTACAAATGAAGGCCCAGACCGATGGGAGATGGATACAAAAGACACCTCAGTTAGTGCTAAGTGAACACAAGTGGCTAGTGTTAATACTTTCACCAAACTAATTACATAAACTGACTCCTATCTTACACCAGGTTCTCCGGTGGGGTGTAGGCCGACAGGATGCCCTGCACCTGGGTCAGTCCGAGCCGCAGGCAGTTCTCCCGCGGCTCGAACTGCAGGCCCGGGGTGTACGGCAGCCCGACCAGCCGCCAGTGGGCGTGCAGCTGGGATATATCGATGGGTTTCAGCCCGGCGGTCTTCAGATGGTCCCTAACTAGGCCATAGACGGTGTATTTAACAGCTTCGGCGAACTGCAGCGGCTCCTCAACGACCTGGTCGAGGAGTTTGGGCGCCTGGCGGAGCAGCTCTCGGTAGTTGAAGTCCAGACTTACCTGGACCGGCGCCAGCAGGTCCTCGGGCCGGCGGTGGTTTCTATAGTTCTCCACAAACTTACCTGCAGAGCCCTCGATCAGCTTCAGCAGCTGCGTCTGCCGGCAATACTTCTCCACTAGCTTTTGCTCGTGGAATCTGAATAGTGTATTTTATTTCATGTAGTAGTGTGTGTGTGGGTGTGTAATATATAGTCAGAAGATCCTAAGTTTTAGGATCCTAAAGTGCACCGTCATGTAGCTTTATATTGGGAGCCCAACAAACTAGCTTGTTTTTATTTTTAAGAATTATACTTACTTTTTAGTGCAAAAGTTGAAATATTGTTAGAATACTTCCTTAATATTGCGGAAAATGGTCACGAATTAAATTAATTAAATATAATTAAACTCTGAAAAAATACTAATAAGGAAGACAGTCAACTTTTTTCTGTAAAAAAGAAACAGATTTCTGTTCTTCACGATTCAAGTTTTTGTTTTCTTTTCAGTTGGCAACGCCATTTTCTTGTTCAGAGTGAGAAAGCTGCAGACTACGACAAGTTCCGATGCGTTGCCGGCGAAAGGGCTCCAAAGAGGAGATGAATTACAAACATGGCGTCATGGAAAGCAATGCGTAGTTTTGCAAAAACGTGCTCGAATTTGGAAAGCTCCAAAAAGGAAATGCAAAACTATTTCATGTCCCAAGCGATTATTTCCACAATTTTCTTATTTAAATTGTATAATTTTTAGTTTTTCTTAACCACAATTTCAATCGGAAATTTTGTTTTTTTCGAGTGAAAAATGCGAGAACAAGACGACACGACAAGTTTCGTTGCGTTGCCGGCGAATGGGTTCCAAAAAGGGAATGAAAAAAAATGTCATGTCCCAAGCGATTCACTTTTTTCACAATTTTCTATTTGAAATTTATAAAATTTCTAATTTTCTGTAAATCACAACTTAATGGAAAACACCATTTTGTTTTTTTCGAGGGAAAATGCCGGCAAAAAAGCTTCAAAGGGGAGAAGCGAAAATTTTGTTTGGTTCTCCCGAAGAGAAAAATGTTTTTATTCTACGCTTATGGGAAGTGTAGAGTGAGGAAGCTGCATGCTACGACAAGTTCCGATGCGTGGCCGGTGAAAGAGCTCCAAAGAGGACATGAATTACAAAAATAGTATGGCCCGATCAAGCATGCGCAGCCGGCCAAAAATTGCACTTTTACAAAATATAAAAAAAAACGTGCAGCGATATTGGGCATCCCATTTATAAAGCTACGGGCTATATATTATATTTATTGTATTTGGGCTTTATGATTTTTTATGGTAGTTTTATATGAAAATTACTTACTGGTTATTTGAGGAACTAGCGTTTTGTTCTTCGGTTGTTGCAAAATGTAACGAATAAAATGTGAACATTTTATTTCGACCACACCATTAAATTAGCTGAATCACTCAATGTAAGAATGTAAGAAAACACAAATCTTTACAACGGCTTCGGAAACTTGGTGAAACACTAAACCAACCAATGCAGTGATGGATGTAAAGTTAAGTGCGAAATTTTTTTGAACGACGTCCTTTTTATAAAGGTCCCCAAGGAAAAAGAACCGATATTTTGATAAATTTATATCGATATGTTACTTTTGCGCTCTCCAGTGAAACGGATAACATGAAAGTTAAGTGCGAAAATTTTTTGAACGACGTCCTTTTTATAGAAGTCCACAAGGAAAAGGAATCGATATTTCGATACATTTATATCGATATGCACTTTTGCAGTGAAACGGTTAACATTTTAAGTTCAAATATACAAATTATATTGAATTTTCGAATTATATTAGTATTTACAGACTGTATTTGTATTTTTGTATTTAACCACTTACGTTAAACATTTAAAAAAGACCCATATACCTGGTTTTGAAGATAACCGTTTAAGTTTAAGTTTAACCGATTCGTAAACGGTTATATTTTAAATAGTCTTTAGTGATCCGGTTCTGGGCGTTTCAATAAAAAAAATATATAGAAAAATAGCTAAATAACGTCCAAAAATGTTGATAATTATTTTATTTTATTGTTTTCTAGGTGTATAGCTGTTCTTTTATTTAGAAAAATAAAAAAGCTTTAAAATATTTAAAATCCTACATTCCAGTGGATTACAAACTATATCCCTCTCTTTCTTTTTCATAAAAACATCCAAATCCCTACTTTATACGAATTTCTATAGTCGTAGAAAACTTTTCCAGAAATAACTTTACAAGACCATGGAATCTATATCTATGGACAGTACATTTTATTCAGCATTAATGACTAAAAAAAAAAGATTGGTTCACACTTGGTTTGTTGTTTGGATTTTTCATGTTATTTTTTATTTTAAATTTAGTGCAACACCTTGCAGCGAGCACGCGTTATTTTTATAAAAAACAAAAAACAGACACATAGTTTGTTTTTGCTGGTTGATGCTTTCGAAGTCTCCTTAACGGTTGGACTTGGCCACACGCTCCAACTCGTCCTTCTTCTTGATGGCGTAGGAGTTGGAAGATCCCTAAAAAACAAGACAAAAATCATGATAAGTATAAAGATTTAAATAATCTTAAATATAAAAATAATTCATAAGCCTTACTTATAAGACTTATTGTTCTTTTACGTTTCTCGTGTGCATTGAACAGAAATATGTTACAAGCACAAGGATAATAAAAAATGGTGATTATTCTGGTCCAAAAGCGAGACTACATTAATAAACCATGATGCAGAATTAGATTGGACCCACATGGGAGCTAAGTAAATGCTATTCTTAGTGTTCTTTTACGTTTCTCGTGTGCTTGGACCTAGCAATTGGCTTTAGCACAAGGATAATAAAGGATTTTGAGATTTGATCTGGTCCAAAAGCGAGACTACATTAATAAACCATGATGCAGAATTAGATTGGACCCAAATGTAAGACCTATTGTAACACTAAATTACAGGCAACGAGCGGATCAAGGCCCATTGCCTTTTTAAATTCCAGTGCTGAACTGAGTTCGTGATCTGGTCTACAAGCGAGGCCAGGCATTTTCGGTATTACAATGCCAGGCATTAGAGTAGACCACCAAACTATCGCCGTCCATAAAACTATGAATTCACCTTAGCAGCGTTGATCAGCTCATCAGCCAGGCACTCGGCGATGGTCTTGATGTTCCTGAAGGCAGCCTCACGAGCTCCAGTGCACAGCAGCCAGATGGCCTAAAAGATAAATACGTCAAGTTAATAATTGTTTAAGGTTAAACTATGCAAAGATAGATGTGAATAATATTTGAAAATGTCTCTTCAGTTCATACGCCAAATGTCGGCTATAATACACATTATGACGCTACGGATAAGATAGAATTTCGATCTGGCCAAGTGTTATAAGCAAGCAGTCTCCAATCGAACCACAAGCCATTGCTACCGGCCATCTTTCCATTGCTACCGACAATCGTCTGGAGTAACCCACCTGGTTGACGCGACGCAAGGGCGACACATCCACAGCCTGACGACGGACGGTACCAGCACGTCCAATACGGGTGGAGTCCTCACGAGGTCCAGAGTTGATGATAGCACTGACCAGGATCTGCAAAAGTAAAATGAAACTGATTAATACCCGGTCATCCTTTACCACCTAACTAGTAACTATTTTAAAATAACGAAGTGTTGTTTTAATTTCCAGGAGAACAAGAAGTGGTTGAATATCTTCAGGATCAAGGATAGTTAAAACATTTCAATCTTAGTCCATCCCGCAGGAAAAATGCCTACCAACGACAAGGTTATATCGTCTGGCATTGTCAGTGGACTGAAAATGGATCTCAATAGTGTATTATATTGTTGATTTCGACTTTATTAAGGTTCGCATTTTTGAGACAATGCCCTTAAGAGGAATAGTTAACCATGGGGTTCATTTTAGTCCAATTGAATACCACAACGCTGTAGGGATCAACGCTGCAGTTTTAGTTTTGGACGGATATCGTCTATCTACAAGTATCTATAAGAGCTAATGTAGTTTTAAGTTCCAGGAGAGCGGAAAGTATAGTTTCTTTGAGCACTAGGATATTAAAACGATAGTTCCTATGAGTCCCTATATAAGCAAAGTTTAGCTGGGAATTGCAATAAACTGCCATCGATTTGGGACTACTCGAGAATACTGTCTATACTTTCATGATGTATTGTTGCTTTTTGACTTTATTAAGGTTTGTATCTTCAAGACGATGCCCTTAAGAGGAATAGTAAATCATGGGGTTCATTTTTGTCCAATTGAATACCACAATATTGTTGAAATCAATACTGCAGTTTTAGTTTTGGACGGATTCTATGATTCGTTTGGTTTCTATTGTATCTTCAATTTCCAGGAATGCGGGAAGGGGCTTCTATTTTCTTCAAGCACTAGGATAATATTGAATATTTTTAGTCAATTTTAGTCCATTTTGATGGATGCTTGGCGAGTATGAATTATAAACCGACCAGCATTGAGGTGGACTAATATATAACCTGATTTGTTCTGTTGTAGTTTCAATTTCCAGGAATGCGGGAAGGAGCTTTTCTTTTTCTTCAAGCACTAGGATAATATTGAATCTCTGATTCACTATTAGTCCAATAAAAGAGTATGCTTAGCTGCCAACAATATAAACTAACTAGCATTGAGGAGGACTACAAATAACATTTCTCAAACAAATATTTCAAGGTGTGGCTTTAGTTTCCATGAGAGCAGGAAGAGGCTGTTTATCTTCAAGCACAAGGATAATATTAAAACCTATTTTTATCTGCGTTCCCATTCTACCCATGACCCAGTGGTAATTGGTCTGTGGCCACAGTTTAGCATGAGACGCTTCTAAAACGATATGATAGTTAATAACTATTACTAAGGTGTTTAATGTACCTGCAGAGGGTTCTCGCCGGTGAGCAGATGGATGATCTCGAACGAGTGCTTGACGATGCGGCAGGCCATCAGTTTCTTGCCGTTGTTGCGTCCCTTCATCATCAGGGAGCAGGTCAGACGCTCCACAATGGGGCACTGGGCCTTGCGGAAACGCTTGGCGGCATAACGGCCGGCAGAGTGGGGAAGGTAGCGAGCGAACTTCTCCTTAACCGAAATGTAATCCTGCAGCGAAATATCGTTGACGGTCACATCGTCGCAAGACCAACGGCCGAACAGCTTGATCTCGGGCAACTCAGTGGTGGCCACCACATTCGTCTCCAGGATGGTCTCAGCAGCCTCGGTTTCCAGAGGTGCTGGCTCCTCGAAGTTCTCCACCACGTTTTCAGCAACTTCGGCCATGCTGAAAGTACAAATAATAGGTGTTATTTGAAAATTTTGTAATACTGTGTGCCTCTTCTAAAATAATAAAAACACTAAGAAAAACGTGGTAACTTTCTGTTACTGACTACAGGTTGGCAACAAAAAAAAAAAAAAGAATTACGTTGAAGATAAATTATTAAAACTATTATGCTTTTGTAGAAAGTATTCCCGTCTTCTAAACCCTTTAATAAAATCACGTTTTTAAAAGAAAAAAAAAATAATCAAAAATATATAACACACACACATGCTTCACACATACACACTCGCGCGTTATTGTTGATTTCCGACCCGGGGAGTCTCAAGTAACTTCCAGAGGGAATCCATCGAAAAAATACCATGCCATTATTAAAATATATCACTACAGTGATTGAAAAACCATAGTTTTTGGCAAGCGGTAAAAAAAAATACAAAAAAAAAGGTAAAACCAACACGTGTGACGCACACACACAGCCGTACGGCCGCAGACACACACAAACAAAAAGCCGACCGTTTTTAACCTCATTATGGAGGAGCTGGCAAAAAGTGCCGATTTTCTATAGTTGCTGATGAAAATGCACAAAACCCTGAATATCCACACTTGGCCGACACTTTAAGTGACCATTTAATAATAGTTTGGTGCTTTTACACTTAGTTAAACAGCGAAATTTTCTTACTTTTTCACAGAAGCAATCGAGATACGATGTCAGCGCAAAGGCAAACGCCTGAAAAAGAACATGTTACGGCAGTGTGGGACAACGCCACAGTCGCACGTTTCCGCCGAGGCACGCACGGTTGCATTCCATTACCAGGGCTGGGGTACACTTGAGCTATCGATAACAACTCCAAATGCGATATTGCTGTTTTATTTGGATTTTTCCTTATTGAAAAAATATTTCGTTAAACTCTTAATTTATTGCTCCAATAGTTGAATATTTTTATTTATGAAATGATGTTTTATATTCCTCATTTTGTCACAAATTTAATAATATTTTATTGATTTATCGATAGCTTACCGGTTTAAGGTGGTAGTATTCTTGGTATTTTCTAAGCGATAGTCGCAAAACGCAATCATCGCAAAACGAAACTATCGATTGTTCTAGAAAATCCACCCGGATGGAATGCCACCACTATCAGGCAACAACAACACAATGATTGTTGTTCAAAACCACCGCAAATATTTTGTGTCCCCAAGTTAATAATCAAAGCGGCCGCAAAATGACAACTGACGAGAGCATTATGGAGGAGATGCTGGGTGAGCGATGCGATAATGCAACTATGGCGCATACAAAGAGTTACATTGTTTTCACTTACACTCCCGTATTCTGCTTCTTCTTGATTCTTGCCCGCAGACAGAGCAACAAATCCGGCAAAAGAAAGAGTTGACGAGTTGGGCGTACAAATGTTCTGCATTGTGGTCAAGAGCAATACCCAGCTGGTTCACAAGGCCCAGGAAATGATTGTGGCCAAGGTCCGATCCACCAACATAACGGAGGCGACACGAGCAATATCGGTTAGTGACATTTTTCGACTCGATTCTCACGCCCAGCAACGTTAAAGGGGGCCGTCCCACCCTCATCCCCATACTCTCACACACTGGCACAGTGGGCCGTAAAGTTGGCCCAAACCAGTAACCCATACTGAGGCACACGCACTTGTGTGGCTGCGGTCGATTCGCAATTGTTATCAATTTTCATATTGTAGCAGATATGTAATCGTAGCTGTGTAGTATCCCAAACAAAAGGGGCTAGTTATTTTGTGCGAGAATTGGTTAAATTTCATATGTATTAGGCTTTGAAGCTTGATCTACCTATGAGCTATTGTAGAATGGACGTTTGGAAGCAATCATGTAATTTTTTTCTGATATTTGTAGGGATTTAAACTTAGTTTTTAAAAATCTATATATTACCTTTCGAAGATAAAGATATCAATTCAAAAATGATTTAAATTTAGAGGTTTAGCCACTTAGTTTTATATATATATTTTTTAAAATGAGTATTTATATCTTTAAATGAATCATTACTTCAGTTTCAAAATCCAGATGTTTTTATGATTCATTAATCAAGAAAAATAATTAATAAGTATTAAAATATGTATATCTTGTTTATAGCTACTGGAGGAATGCATGACCCAGTGCGGTGACGACTTCCAGGACGAGGCGGCCAAGTTCCGGTTTCTAAACGAACTAATCCGACTGGTGTCGCGGAAATACAAGGGCGCGGAGACGCCGCACGAGGTGAAGCAACGGATCATGGAGTGCCTGCTGCTGTGGACGACAGAGTTTCCGCAGCGCCAGAAGATTCGTGATGCCTACGAGATGCTGCGCAAGGAGGGCGACATCGAGCACGCCCAGACCGAGGCGGCGGTGGCCAAAAGGGAGAGCGTCCTCGGCACCATTGACGAGGCGATGTTCGCCAAGCTGATCAAGAGCAACAATCCAGAAAACTTTAAGCGAGCGAATCTCCTGCTGCAGTACCGCATGGCGCAGGAGGCGCGTCGCAATGATTTATTGGCCCAACACCGTTTAGTTCTCAGCGAAGTCCAGGAGACGATGCAGTTGCTCAACCAAATGCTGGACACCTACGATCCCACTAACCAGGACGTTGCCGAGACACTGCACGAACTGTACAGGAACTGCAAGAAGCACAAGCCCATTTTCCATCATCTGCCACAGTTGCTGGACGATTCCGATGCCCAGCTCGTAGGTGGGTCTGGTTTATATTCCAAAATATCCCAATCCTAATCTTAATTTTGTATAGCGGACACATTGGATGCCAATGGCGCCCTTCTGGCCACAATGCAGCGTTATAAGAATCTGGTGCCGTCGCCCACTCGAACTGCAAACCCTGCGCCGGCCACAAGTTCTTCCACATCCGCTACAAAGTCCACATCAACATCACCACTCACATCGACAGCGACAGCGTCGGGCTCTGGATCCAACAATGCCCTGTTGCTCAACGAGCTTCTCGGGGACTTGCTCATTAGCGGGAGTGGAAGCGAGAAGAGTGCCGCCAGTCCCGCACCAGCACCCAGTGCAACAGCAGCAGCTCCCAACACTGCCAGCAGCAATTCCACGTCGGGCAATCCGTTGGCGGACTTGAGCGAAATCTTCAGCAGTGCCTTGGCCGAAAGTGAGGCAGTGAATAAGACCAACCAACCATTCCAGAACGCCAGCACTATCCTCGAGCCGCAAATTCTTAGCCCCAGCATCGCGCCAGACTCCTTGGCCAATGGAAGCTCCGGGGATTCGGCCAAAAAGCCAGGAACCGCCAGGAAAATGCCCCAGATCGATATGCTGAGCGAAGAGCTCTTCCAGCAGATCCTGCCCACTCAGGAGCGTATGGCTAGCTTCAAGAGGGATCCCGAAAAGGTAACCCTCAATGATTTGGCTCGTGATAGGATGCATGTCAAGCCGCTGTCAGAGGACAACGAAAAGGAGGCGTCAGTCGACTCTAAGAATTCTGTCTCCGCTTCGGATCCAGCGCCTGTCGATGATGACCCACTGCTGAGCGAAACTGTGGAGAAGAAGCTCGAAGAGGTCGTGAAGCCAGCGGCGGAACCGGCTTCGCCTCCGGTCAAGCCTCTCAGCGAGATTCAGGTGGACCTGGACAGCATCCAGGCCACGGGAGAGCAGCGCATCGTTCTTAATGATGACGACATGCAGCTTAGTCTGAACTTTACCAGCGATCGACCCGGACAACGGGTCTCCGTGATTGTGATATCGGCGCAAAACAAGAGTCGCCAGCCCGTCCGGGACTTTCAGTTCGAGGCGAGCGTCAAAAAGGTAAAGTAAATCCTATATACTTCCTTAAATAACCATCTAATCTAGGTGATCTTTCTGTTGCAGCCCTGTAAGGTGCGCCTGCTGCCGCCGACGGACAGCGAGATGCCACCGCACAAGCCCTTCCGTCCGGCCACGCCCATCAACCAAGTCATGCTGCTGCTAAACCCCACCGGCAAGGCAGTGGATGTGACCTGTATTGTGGGCTATAAGCTGGGCGATGATCCTGATCCCATCAAGGAATCTGTTGTGGCCCAGGGCATTGCCTATGTGGATTGAAAGCCACGCCATTTTCCTAGAAAAACCGGCTACCAAAAAAAAAAACAGTCAAATGATGAAGGAAAGTCAATTCCATTGTCCTTCGGTTGCTGTTTCCCTTTTGTTTTGCATCTAAAAGATGGAAAAAGTATTTTCGGCATTTTAATTCTGTGTTTTTTTCCTTTTTTTTCCAAAAAGAAATGTTCTTAATTGATTTATATATTTATGCCAATAAGGTTTTATTTAAATTGCAAATTTGCATACCCACGATTTAGTCGTAATATATAATAATTATGTATCAAAGGTTTATAAATTATTTATGAAAAAGTCGCTACAAAAGCCAAGCGCCCATTTTCAGAGGTAGTTTTTGCTTAATTTCCGTTTCTCTCACTTGCTGGTAAAAAAGAAGTTATTCCAAATTGATTTCCGGTATTTGGGGGGTTTTCAGTTCTGGTTGGTGTGCTTCTCTGTCTATGGAATCGAAACGTTCCTCTCATTCATTTTCGAACTGCCTCTAAAAACTGCAAAAACATTCGCCGGAGCCTAAGTTGCGTTTTCTAAATGCCATTATCCCATCTTGATTGTCTCGCTGGATCTCTCTCAAATGGGTTTCTATTATGGGTGGGTATACAAAATATCCAAACATTGCTGGAAGTTATACATAATCTTTTCAAAAATCTAGAAATTTAATTGAAAAATTCTAAGTTATATTGCATTTGAATTGGAAAATTTGTTGTCTTAATATTTACAAGGAATATTTTCAAAATTTCAGCCTTTAACTCTATTTCTGTTTCAAGTTGAAAGCCTAAAGAACACTGAAAAAAGTTTCTAGTCATTTAAATGCCATAAAATACCCCTTTTTGGGAGTAAGACGTTTTTTAAAGTTCTAAAGAATTATTATTGCTTTTCCAAACCAGTCTGGAGAGAAAGAAACCTTTAAAGAGGTTCGAAGATAGTTTAGAAATTTGAAATTCTACTAAAAAAAAGCGTTGAAATTTAGGATTAAAGAGTTCCTAATTAAAAACCAAAATTCCAACAATAAAAAAATGAGCTTTTTTGGATTCATACATAATTGGTTACCCTATGAAGGCCCTCACAACGAGACAATCACGACAGGAGGACAATATAATCCTACAATTGCCTAACTCTAACTAACGATCTACATGCTATTTGCCCACAATTTCGTCCTTAAAGGACAGGGCAGTGATGGCCTTGGTGTGACCAGTATAATCCCTGATGGGACTCTTGGTTTGGAGCTTCCAAAGGCGTGCCACACCGTCCGAGGAGGCGGTGAAGAGCCATTTGGAGTCCGCACTAAAGGCGGCATCCCACACCCAATAGTTTTCGATGCACAGCTCCCGCCATTTGGTAAAGTCCTCGGTCTTCCAAATGCAGGCAGTACCATCGCCGGACGTGGTTAGCAATAGCCTCGAGTCCGGACTGAATTTACAGCGCAGGATGTAGCGACTATGGGCTGGGATTTTCTTGGTGGGACGCAGAGTGCTCATCTTTTGATCCGGACTGCTGGTGAGAGACCAAATATAGCAATTGCCTTTGTTGTTAGCTGCCGCCAAATAGCGGCCGTCTGGAGAGATGGCCACATCCTGTATGGATGCATCTACCTCGGGCACAATCCGTTCGTGCTTCTCCGACTTGACGTCCCACAGGAATACACTACCATTCTGGGATCCCATACCGATTTCCACTTGATTCGGATGCAGACAGGCGGCGTTCACTGGCGCCTCACAGTCAAACACCCGGGAACAGTGCGGCGGTGCCGAGATCATGTCCCAGATTCTAACATGATGATCCTCGCCGGCGGTGAACATCCAGTTACCATCCTCCTGGAAACCCAAACGGGTCACATTTTTCTGCACGCCATCGAAGTTAATGACCGGCGCTGTACAGTTCGACTCCAGGTCGTATAAACGGATGCACTGATAACCACAGGCCGCCAATCTGGTCTTATCCGGGGTTCTGTCCAAGGCATTTACTTGCTAAAGAAATTCTTATTAAAACAAGGATTCCATGAAAATAGAGAGATAGACAGAGCCAGATGTCTCTCCAACTTACGGAGGTTTCCACGAATCGCATCGTTTTAATACAATTACCGGTGTGTGCTTGCCACACCTTGATGGTGTGATCGTATCCACCGGTGGCCAAGATCAGTTGGTCCCCCATATTTTCCATTCAATTGTCGGCTTTGCAATTTTTCACTATTTTTATTTGTTCGCCGCTCTTCCTCGCTTCATGGTCGCAGTGTGACCATATTTTTCTTGCACAGTGATGACTTTCTAGCCGGTTTATAGCTATTTCTAGCGGTTTTTAGTTTGATTTTTAATAATTTTCAATCTAAAATTGTTCATTTTTCAAGGAATAACATTGATTAAGATTGTCAAAATTATTTTGTTTAATTTTTATTTGCCATAAATAGTCACATATGTAGCTTAAAAACTTAAAAACTAGTATTTTCAAGGAATTAAAAGTTCAAATTGGCATTAAACTTTAAAGAAAGTTTATTTTTAAGGTTATTTTGTGAGTATTTTGGTTTAAAATCCTTACCCAATAGAATTCCTTTTTAAAAAAATACTCTTAATTATTTATTTGGTTGTATATAGCTTAAACTTTGTTTTTAAAACATTTCAGTTATAGTGATATTAAAGATTTAAATAATATTACATTTTTAATAAATATTGTGAAAGGAAATACATATATTTTCAAAATTTCCATCTATTATGCAGCTTTTATGATTTTAATTTTAGTTCAAAACAACTGTATTTTATTTTATTAAAAAGAACTAGCTATCATTCTTTTTCAAATATATTTAACTGTTTTAAAATTGCCTGTAAAATATTTTTCTAATTATTAAATGTCAGTAAAAATTCGAAAACAGCATGAATTAAAGTAAACACTTTCCCTATCGATTGATTTGAAAATATTATATTAGTTTCCCACAAATACACATGAAGATGTTCTAATAGGAGAAATCAAAACAGCTCGAATGTCCAGATATCCTGATATCCTTCTTATCCTTGATATCCATCAGAGCGGTGAAGGCAAACAAAACGTCAATGCACTCCCGATGTTCGTGTGTGTCCTTGTTGACCATAAACTCGAAAGTGGGTGCAAGTCCCATGGGCTTAGGGGGCGGACTTTGGAGGCGTTTGAAATTAACCACAGAAAACAGGTGAGCTTGAAACGCATGACCTGGTGGAGCGTTAAGCAATTTGCTTCCCATGGAACCTAAGCCTAAGCAATCGAATTAGCCAGCAAATCCTGCAATGGCCAAACAAAAGGGATCCCGATCTCTGACATTTCAAAGGTGCTGATATAGAGGCATTTTCCACACTTTAAGAAATCTTCGAGTAGGAGACCCTGTTTTACCGTTTTCTGTTTCTTATCCTATTCCCCCAAGTTCTTATTTGCTTAAATCCTTTTTCTCTCTCTTGAACTCCGCTCTCCAATTGGATTTATTGCAAATCCTTACTCTTCCATCTTGTAGGAGACTCTGTTTTACCGTTTTCTATTTTTTGTCCTACTCCCCCTACTCCTACTACTTATTTTCTAAAATCCTTTTTCTCCCTCTCGATCTCTGCTCTCCAATTGGATTTATTTAAAATATTTAGTCTTCCTCTCTCTTACTTCCTCTTTCTTTTCTTTACAGTTTTCTATTTCGTATCCTACTCCCCCAAATTCTTATTTGCTTTGGTTCTTTTTTCTCTCTCTCAAACTCCGCTCTCCAATTGGACTATAATACACAAAATCTTACACTCCCACTCTCTTACTCTCTCTCATTCTCTCTTTGTATGAATGAAGGTTTGGAACGGATCCTGTGGGCGCCACCAATAAGGGGCGTAAACAATAAAAAAGGAACAAAATGACGGTTACAATCTTTTAAAAACATAAACCTTTAAATTCTAATAATTATTTATACCAAAAATCCTGTAAAAAAGATAATCCTGCAATATTAAATTCCCCTCTTCAAAAAAAGTCCTGAATCCGACCCTGATGTGGCTCCGATCTTAGAGCTCTGAGCGCTGCGATTAACGGTACTTTTTCGTGTTTCTCTTGTCCTCAGCTACGCAGACGCTACAGTCAGTCCTTTTTCAGCTACGACCGGGATAGGTGTTTTCGTTTTAAAATGTCCGTGAAAATTTAATATTTTTAAGGTATTTTTTTCTTTAATAAATGTATTAAAAGTTAAATAAAATACAAATTAAATTTAATAGCGAAACGGGTGTGAGAGCTACAAACATTTTTCGAGTGCAAAGAGCAACAGGAACACAGGCACAGTCGAATGTAATTGCCAATGGTCTGACTTCTTGACCCGACGCGTCGGTTTCCCCAACCACCCAACCACCCAATCACCCCCACCCCCTTTGCGGCACTTTCAATAAACACATGCGAGTGCGAACGAGTTTACAGTTTCGATTACAGAGCCGCCGACCTGCCCCAACAGCTGAAAGGACACTTTACCGCCTCTTTAGCCAACTCAAGTGGCCAACAAGTCCTGTACGCAGGCCCTGCCTCAAGGGGGCGGTGGGGGTAGATCCCAAGAGGACCCGTTCAAAGGGAACCACTTGCTCTGCACAACATATGGTACGTACTACACACACAAACACATATGCATAAATAAGGACATAAGTAGACCAATAAATCCATCCTTTTTTACCGTTTCATTAGGGTCTTTAAAGAGCTACCGTTAAATGTTTAATTTTAAATTAAAAACTTAAGATTTCGGCTTATCTGGAGGTTATATTTTGGCCAACATCTCTTTAATTCTCAAGCGGAAGGGTCCACTAGGGGTTTTAGGGTCCACAAGAATGGCTATATCTTCCCCAATTTTTATCCGATTCCCAAGCGGAGTACCTTAAACGATTTTTAGATCGATTTGCCACCATTCTGCATCAAAATCCTGAGACGAAATATTTTTTGGATATTTTGTCCATTTTTCCTAATGGGATCCCTTGAAAATGGGGTTTTCCCTATGGGGCCCACTGCGATGGCTATATCTTCCCCAATTCTCATCCGATTCTCAAGCGGAGTACCTTAAACGATTTTTAGATGGATTCTCCACCATTCTGCATCAAAATCCTGTGACAAAATATTTTTTAGATTTTTCAGATTTTTTGTCCATTTTTCCTGATGGGATCCCTTGAAAATGGGGTTTTCCCCTATAGGGCCCACGGGGATGGCTATATCTTCCCCATTTTTTATCCGATTCTCAAGCGGAGTACCTTAAACGATTTCTAGATCGATTCTCCACCATTCTGCATCAAAATCCTTAAACAAAATATTTTTTAGATTTTTTGTCCATTTTTCCTGATGGGATCCCCTGAAAATGGGGTTTTCCTCTATAGGGTCCGCTGCGATGGCTATATCTTCCCCAATTCTGATCCAATTCTCAAGCGGAGTACCTTAAACGATTTCTAGATCGATTTGCCACCATTCTGCATCAAAATCCTGAAACAAAATATTTTTTAGATTCTTTGTCCATTTTTCTTGACGGGATCCCTTGATCCCTTGGATCCCTTCTGTGGAAAATAAATATTTAACAGCATAAATATTCATTGTGTTGAAGGCTGAAAAGGAAAACTGCCTATTGAAGCCCATTAAACCATTGTACATTAACGACCTGCCCAAAAAATAAATCATACTGTGAATAAATATTGCCCCAATAATGACACTGATTACGGAAAAATAGTTGCCTGATTGAAATTCGCATTAATTAAATTACGTTACAAGCAATTGCCCATGTCGCTTCATCGAAACGCGATGAAATTCTCAACGTTAACTATTTGGAAATTAATGCAAACTGATGGGGAAGGTCCTGTATAGGGGAAGAGAGGGCAGAGAAGCGGTGGGGATGGAGGGGTAGAGAGGTTAAGGAGCAGAGGTCGTTGCAACGTGACCTGTCGAGCCGGTGACATATTGACTCATCAATTGCAGGCTAACAGCTTTGACAATAGTCGAAATGGAAATGACAATTGCCCCAAGACGAACCCACAAACCCGCGAACTGTCAGCGAAGTATTGGCCAGGGTTCAAAGGACACTGAAAAAAATAAAAAATAAATTCTAAGAGAAATACATTTTTTTTCAAAGAATTAATCTCACGGAAAGTATTATTTTCAAGTTTTATGTTTTTGAGATTTAATATATTTTTTCTGAGTGTATGTATTGTACTAACAGGATGATAATGAGTCGGAAGATGGGACTCGAAGCAGCTTTCTGAGCTGGGGCGACCATAATAACAATGGCCACTCTAGCGGAAGAGGCGAAATTTTTATGTTAATGAACATCATTTTTCTCTGTTTACTTGCCCTTGTGTTAAGTGTCGCAAATAAATTCATTAAAGTGGCATTTTTCAATTTTAATGAAGAGGAGACCTTCCCAGTCCCCTTCTCCCTTCGCTTCAGCCACTTTTCGACTCAAAAATGAACTGAATAAGAAATAGGTATGTATACAAAAATGAATACAAATACGGCATCTCCATTAAATGAAGCAATATGAATTACGCATTTTATTTATGAAAATAATTTGCGTACGATTATAGTTCCTTATCACAGTTGTATTATCGCATACCGTAGCCATAGAGTTCGGGTATTATCGGTGCAAAAAGTTTCACCCTTGAATTATGGCAATTATGAGGGCATTGTTAGTCCTTATCGGGAAATAAATAGTTGAGAGTTGGACACTTCCGTTGAGATGATATCGATGTTTTTGTCATTACATATCGAATTTATGAGAGTGTGAGTGATTGTCTCTGTGTGATTGTGTTACGTAATTATAAAACATTTCATTGTTCCACCGACGAACTTTTAATTGCTCGCCACTGTGTGTCCAATTAATTTATTGTTGGATTTGTTTTCCGCTTTAATTACTTGCTAGTAAATTAAACAAAATAATATTTAAAAAATGTAATAAATATTTATCGAAAATAATCGGTTTTTATCTAAAAACTGACCAGTGAAGAAAGCAATAACCGCCTAATGGGGTGAAGCTACTTTCTTATAAGAACTTCTATACTTTCTTGAGTAAATTCTTGCAATCATTTTTGTGGTATTTTTAATCAGATAGTATTAAAAAGTATGGTAATAGTTAGATATTTATAGAAAATAATCGGGTCTTATCTAAAAAATCTTCAATGACGAATTCTAACCCTCGATTTTAGTACAACTACTTTTCTAATAGAACTTCCTTATTCTCTTGACTAATTCCTCTAAATTTTCCGATTTTTTGTGGCATTTCTAACAAAAGTTAGTTATTGAA